GGTGAAGTCATTTGTTAGTCTTAAACTGATGAGTTCACAGCTGTCTAATATGTCTAAGAATTTAGACTGGATCAATTTTTTTGGTCTGAATTCATCACAGCTGACTCACTGCTGCAGCACCATTAATCTCACACCCAGAGAGCTGATGACGGATGTGTACCTCTTAAGAGCGTGTGTGTCTGTGTGTTGACGACTGCAGGAAGAACACCTGTGTGGACATGGCTTGTCGTGGATGTGTACCAGCAGAGATCACTGACTTCTACACCTGCCTGTAGAGCAAAACAAAACACACATGACACATTAAAGAGCCAGAGCCTGAAAAGTGTTATCGCGCATTGGGCTTTCTAAACAATGTTCAAATCAATGCCTTACAGTACTTTTTATTTTACATATTTTTACTTATTTTACCTTTTTATTTTTAGAGACAGACATGCTTCTGTAAAATGTGTTGACTGTGCTCCTATCTCTGCGGTTTTATCTCTTCATCTAAATGCAATCATATCATAGCATTAAATGCCATAAACTTTAAATCTTCATGTACCATTTTTTTAACCATGAGTTTTTGAGCAGGTTGCTGTGGATTGCTGCTGCTGACATACCTGACTTCAAATGCTAACTGCTTTTATACCAGTCATTCTTTTATTATTATAGTTATATCTGTGATTCTTGTCTGTTAAATCTGTTGTTTTGTTGTTTCTCTATTTGTCCCTATCTTTCTCTGTCTCTTTAAACCCAACACAGCTGGTTGAGGCTGCTTATCATAAGTTTAGTTCTGCTTGAGATTTCAACCTTTTACAGGAACTTTTTCTGTGCCACTTTTCTTGCTAAATGTCACCAAGGAATTTGCTGGTTGAAGATGTTAATGCTTGATCTCTGTAAACAATACAGTACAGTTTGGTTCAGCTCTTTTTTGTCAAATGCACTAAAATAATGTGTCATAACTTTTCTCTATACAAACATAGCTTGACTGGTTGATTGACAGGTTGTTTCTTTGTGGACCATTACCTGCTGTATCCGATAGTGGAGCTTTAACCAGTTGATGGAAAACCCCACAGAGAACAGACAGAAAGGAAGAGAATACCCACATAAACACACATACACACAGACTCACACACGAGACTTCACACATCAGTCAGACAGCCCTCTAGTCAGGAGAACCCCTGGCTCACCTTCACACGGATTCATAGATCTCACACACATGCGCGCACACACATGCGCGCACACATATGCGCGCGCGCACACACACACACACGCGCACGCACGCACTCACACGTATATATGTATTGTGCTGACATGAATCTATGCAGTCACTTTGACTCACATAAACATACCTCCTCTTTCCTGCAAACACACAGACACAGTTCAAAGAAAGACTGTAACCTGACAGGATGGCAACTTTCAGAACCCACATGCAGATTTTTTTCATATTCTCTCCTCAGAATCCCACCTGTTTCTTACAGACTTTAAAGTTATACCTCTTTGAGTCCAGTCTGGATTTTAGATCTCCTTTCTGCATTTGACACACACTCCCAAGCAGTGAGTGCATGCTGGTACTCAGTTGATCCCTGTCTGATCTTTCTTCCTCCTCATCCAACACTGGATGCCCTTATCTTTGGATCATACACACACTGAACCATGCCCTAACTAGACACAGTGTAACCATGTTCCTGCCTGTGCAACTAGCCAGATGTGAAGCACAGCGCTTTGTAATCTTATCTGAAACATGTTGCCGAGCAGATGAACCTGTATGCTGGCAGCGACCTGAATATGGCAACATCTCCTTGATGTGAAATGCAGCTGGAGACATGAAACAATTTGAGACAAATCAGACAGAGCGGGTGTTTCCCCAGAGTCAAGAAAACATTGACCTGATGTTAAATTTTACAGGCAGTCAGGCTGTGTGTGCGCATGTACTGTGTAAAAGCACAGACAGCAACACCACTCCTCAAAAGTAAAGCTACGAATCTTCACAGGTTCACGGCCCACCTCCGTCATGATAATGGATCGAGTACCGAGCCAGTCAACAAAATACATGCCGTTTATCAAAAATGCTTTTCATCTTAAGTTTGTTCTTTATATTGTTGATATACTGTATGTGGAAGTAGTTTATTCAGTTGAAGAGCTCTGCTCTGTAATGTCATATTGAAAAGTAGAGGTATGATCGTCTGTGCTGATCTACTAAGGTGCTATATATGAAGTCCTCACTCCTGTCAAACCACTTTCTGTACCACTATGCAGATATTTAATTTCTTTGCTGGTTTCTTCATATTTTTGTGGGATGGGGAATCCTGGCCCAGCCCCTCACGTCCTCCAGTCTGACAAACACCCCTGGACAGGTACCGCACTCAGTTCACTGCTCTCTCAGCTTCATCTTCATTTTGAGAGTGATTTATGGTATATCATTGCAATAAATCATTTTCATTAAATTTGTCTCCAAATAGGATAAAATGAGATTTGAACACAGGGCCGTTACTGGTAGAAAGCAAGCGACCGTGTAACATAAAACTGACAGTAGCAATAAAGAAAACAGTGACTGTTTAGATGCACAGAGAGAAAAACAGGATGAATTTTAAAAGTTCAACATTGATGTCAGCTCCGACTCCAAATCATTTTTTCATGTGCAGCACCAACATTTGTCACCAGCACAAAATGTCAAAACCCATTAAAGCTGTATTTTTGCTTAACCTTTTGCAGTGGGAGGAGATGGAAGCACACTGTCTATATTCATAAAAAGTCAATGGGATAGTCAAAGGTCAGTTAGGTCCAGCCTCTCCAGCAGCCAGGGTGCTGTGGTTGTTCAAGTAAGGGCCTTATTGAGCCTTTTAGCACACTTAGCCTTTCCTAAGTAGAACAAAGGTTACTACACATACAGGGAGGTTAAATTCCTTCATCACACAAAGTCCCCAGGTAATTGAGTCCCATGCAAAAAAAAAGTGTAAGGTGTGCCAAGGTAATTCAAAAGCTTGACGAGTCACTGAGCTCTGGTAACTGAATTAAGCCCACTCATGTTTCACTCCACTTTCACAGCAAATTATAAGCTTGATTTGAAATGCTTGATTTAATAGAGTATCAGTAAACAGGCACAGGCACACACAGAGATTAATTTAAAAACTCACCTCAAGGGCTGTAGTCGGCTGTTTTTCTGCTCCTGATCATATTTAAGACTGGAGGTAGCACTGTAATCAAACTGACTCTTAACAGGTCGTGACCCCTTATTGAGTGTTGCTAGCCTTTAGGTATTGTTATACGAACTTGAAATGAACCCTGATGTGGTATGATTTTTATTCTTCATATTTTCTTAAGTTCAAAATGAACTTGGAAACTCAACACACAAAGATTTCCCTATTATCTGCATTTTTTTAATGCAAACACTATAACGATTATCTCACCTGACAGTCTAACTCATACTTGACTTTCTATGCATTGCTAAATAGTTTTGTCTCAGCGTATCTCTCTTTTTTCTCCCTTTGCTTGGATGGCATCTGGGCAATTCAGTCTTAGGGGTCATAAGAGCACAAATGACACATCAAAGACTGGTAGATGAAGAGAGAGATAGAGGGATGATGAAGAAGAGGATGAAAGAATGATGCCATGCAACTAGCCTGCCAGTCATTTGTCTAATTGCAATGTCTGTCAGAGGAAGTGTGTGCTATCTCTTAACGTGGATGACTTCATGTTATTTTTCTCCCTCTTTCCCATTACTTCCACCACTCTGTCTACTCTTCAAGCTGAGCCACTTTAACAACTATGGGTCATCTTTTTCTTATTCTTGCTTTTCTGATGTCTCAGTATAACCTCCCATCAGTATAATTTTTAAAAACCTGTCATTCAGGGATAAGCTTCTTATTAACATTGATCTTTTTTAGTCTTTTTGGATGTCCTTCATATTACAATATGACATATAAAGTAAAGAGTCTTCAGTATGTAGGATTATATTTCATATACTTTGTATATGAAATACATGAGCTGTTGTCTCTCCCTTACCCATTCTCTCTCTCCTTCTCCTATCTTGTTCTCTCTCTCTCTCCCCCTGCCCTCTCCCCTCTCTTTTCTCTCTCTCTCTCTCTCTCCCTCTCTCCCCCTATCTCTCTGTATTCCTCCCCAACCCAGCAGCGGCATGGTGGCTGTCTGGCATGAGTCGGGTCCTGCCCAAGGTTTCTGCCTGTTCAAAGGAAGTTTTTTCTTACCACTGTTTCTCATGTTAGTTGAGATTGGCCAAAATCCATCTTAGGTTGGGTCTTCATAATTCATCAAACAATGAGCATGGTCTAGATCTGCTCTTGTTCTTTGAAAAGCGTCTTGGGATGACGACTGTTGTGAATTGGCGCTATATGAATAAAATTTGATTGATTGATTGATTTGTCATGAAAAAATAATCAAATATTTAAGGTGTACTCCAATGATACTTCACTCAACTTTACTTCACTTGGTTGAGGAGTTTGGACCTCCTGTATATACAAAAGCTGCATAGTAAAAATGATTGAAGTCCTGTAACTTGGGGGTTTGGTGGTGAATTAAAGGTCAACATATCTTGAAGTTTATCAATCCCTTGCATGGACACCAGTAAAAAAATAAAAAGGGAAATAGCTTAAGTATGTATACCTGATCCTGAAGTGGGTTTTTTTTAAACTCTTTTGGACATCAGTTAATGTTTGAGTGCTATAGCTTGATAAAAAAAAAGAAAGACGAAAAATTCTAGCTATGGCTGAATGCTAATGTTTGCCACTGTGACTCAGTTTTCAGAATTTGATAAGTTGTCTGGTGTTTTTTTTTTTTTTTACCTGAACATGATGTTATTGTCCCTGCAATTTGTTCACTATTGCCTTTTCAGGTGTGGATCAGTTGGATTGCAGTGGCATTATAATAAATTGTCAGTTTCACACTTTTAAACCTGGAATATAGCAACACAACAGTACAGCTACATTGAAGCTTTCAATCTGCAGTAAGTTGCTGAGGAATTGGCCGCTATGTGAATAAAGTGAATGACACTCTCAAAGCTGTGGGTACAAAGTGTGAATGCATCTCTTCAAGCAGCTGGAATAGAAAGCTGTGTTTTCATAAAACAACACAAGGAACAACATGAAGCTGTTGTGTCTGTTTTATATTCTTTTTATTTATCTCATACCTGTAAAAATATACTCTCAAAATAAATAAATATATGAAATAAATATAGTGTATGTCCTGGCAAACAGAAACTCATAAATAAGAATAAAATCCATCCACAGGTGTGTAAAGGTGTCTCCATCAATGCTCCATCTTTGACTGCTGTCAGTGGAAGAACAACACAATTCCTTCACAGGGTTCTGGAATAAGTCTCTGCAGAGTTTCAACAGAACACCCAGTGTTCCTCTTTAGAAGTCCATATAAAACTCCATTGCATCTCTTCTTCTTCTCTGGTTCCACATGCATCTTGTAGAGAAACAATATTTTCTGAGCAGCATCTGTCTTTTGAACGGTTTGGTAGGAAATCCATCAGCCAGTGTGATACAGGTTATTCCCCCTGCTCTCCGGCCTGCTCCCCTACAAAGACATGGCTGTCTTCCGGTGCATAAAAGTACTTTTTTTATGTGAAGCAGCCACTCTATAAATGATAGTACAATTTTGAAAGCTGTTTTAGATTACATTAAAAGGTCAATTGAAAACAGTACAATTGACCAAGCAGCTGTGGGAATAAAAAGTTACAAGCAGCCAGTTGTTTGTCTCACCTTTTAGTTCCTACACCTTTGTCCTCTTGCACATGCACTTTGGATGAGCAGGTGGTTGGATCAATCAGAATAACAAAATATGACATCTGGTTGCCACCAGGGACTTTGCATAGGCCTATGAAGTGGCAACACTGGGGGCAAAGTAGCACCTCCATCCATCTTGGCCCTTTACATCCCTGGTGCCATTTAGTCAAACTCCACTCCTCATTTGCTACAGAGAGGGTCTGTTTCCTTCCTCAGTGCTCAGGTTGGGGAGTGATTTGATACACTTTTGATGATCCTGTTTTCATCCAATCCAAGATTTTCCCACTCCGACAGAAGGGTTGGACTAACGTGCACTCAGCTCAAACAAGGCCATGGTTTGGTCCCTTCAGTCTCAGCTCTGGCCCAGTATGTCCCCATACAGCTCTGGGACTCTTTCTGGATCTACAGGCCTTGGGAGGAAGTGAGTAAACCTCTGATGTCTCCTTGACCTTGTCCCATCCCGGGACGTACCGTCCTTGTTCAATGCAACAAAATAAAATGCACCTTTTTCTCCATGCCGGTAGATGTTCGATGAGTAGGTGTTGTACCAGTTTTCTTCAAATTGCTCTCTAAATACACACTCTGCTGACAGCTTCTCCTGTAGACAGAAACATGAGGGGGGTGAATGATGTGACTGTGTTACACAGTATACTGGTTAAGATTTGGTACATAGCACACTGTGTGAACTCACCGATCCATACAGCTCTCCCTTGCTGTTCATGGCAAGATAGAGACCACTGTCCACCCCTCTGATGCTAACCAGTCCCACAGCCAGACTGATAAACTCCAAAATACCTGTACACCAACACATTTTACATCATTTTAGAACCATAAAATCAAATTTGCAGAGCTTTTGTCAGAAACAATTCAAAGGAAGTAGATTCAACCCAATGCAGTTTCATCTGGTGATACAAATAAACATAATTTTTCACCAAACCAGCAGCTCGCAAGTACTGAACACACTACTGCTGTTGTTTTGATATCCCTTTTTCTAAATTGCTTGTGTATACACAGAATCTGGGCCAATTTTTTATGTGAATGTTTTGTCCAAAATTTCCTGCCCAAAAAAAAAAACAGCACTGTGTAACCAAGTGCATACCTGACAAAGCTGACTTTGACAAGTCTTAGCGTCTTGAACTGCTTTTGGCCTGAAGTTCAGTCTAAGTTTTCAGCAGAATAAATCAGCGGCCAGAGGTGCAACAGCTGCCCAGCCCAAACATATCCCCCCAGTGGTCTTCTTTTATTAAGACTATGTAACCTGTATGTGTGTACCATGGATATGATTATCTGATTTTATCAGTTGTTTACTTGATAAGTTGCTCCTGTGAGTGGGAGGGTTGGCACTATCTCCCTGTAAAGTAGATTTTAATCATTTGAATGATTTATAAGTCTACATACTACATGTAGCCTAACGAAACCAGAGAATAAAAAAACACTTCCCCCTGTCTTTTAGTCTTTTTTCTTTCTCTCTGCATTATAAAACCCTCTATACAGTGCCTCCACTAACAATTATACCAACTCATTTTGCTTACATTGTACAACAGGCAATGCTATGAGGCTGCTAACACATAAAAAGGCTTCCAATTACAATAATTTGAGGGTAAATCTCAAGGGATTCGTACCGAATCTGCTGTGGTCCTTTCTTGTACCCTGTACGGTGCCGTCCGGACGGATCTCCAAGTGGAAGCCGGTCCTGCAGTAAAGCTGTCTCCGCCTCAGAATCCCCTTCAGATGGCTGAGATCCGCTAAGCTTCGGGACAGCCTTTCTGCGGACACCAGGTGTTCCCGCTGCTGCCCCTTTCCCCCCATAATCAGTCCACCCACTGAGTTGTAATCCAGTGACCCGGCTGGGGTGAGTACGAAATGAGAGCCGACGGGAGCCGGAGCGGCACCAGCGGGGCCAAAGGTGTCCAGAAATCCGTTGACGAAGCTCCCAACCTCCGCCGCTGCCCCCATCACAGAGAGAAAAACCAGATCTGGTTTAGTGCTCGGGAGATCCAAATCGTGATCCAAAGTGATGGAAATAATATTTCGGTGTGAGTTGTGAAATAGGAGAAATAAAAAAAGTTGAGCGTGCGGGCGGAGAAAATGCCCAATTGGAGCGCGTTTTTGCGCAGTCACCAGCACCGTTAATGAAATTGATTTCTAACTGACATCCAACCAACTCCCGCGTTATCTCGGTGTGTGCAGCAGCTCGTGTCCCTTTTTTCTTTTCCACTAGCTGCTATATATCCCTCTCTCCTGCTCTCTGCATCCCTCTCTCTTTCCTCCTCACCTCGGGATACTCCCCTTCGCTCCGGAGCACTTGAAGGTGGTCCAATGTCTCTCTCTCTCTCTCTCTCTCTAAATTCACTTCTGCCTTTTATTTCTGCGGAACCGTCCGCTGTCAGGTCTTCCAGAAGCTGCTTGTAGCGCAGTGAGGCCGGTGATATTCTCAGCGAGAGAACGCAACAATAAATCATCCAGGGAAATTCACCCCAAGTTGCCTTTTTATGCAAATGCGCCCGGATCCCCCTCCTTTGTGAATTATTCTTGGATCCGTTTGAACGTGCGCGTAACCCCTCAGCACATCGTGCTCTCCCTCATCTTCAATGCACAGTAGCCTCTCAGTGCATGAAGTACAGGGCCTTAGAAGACATGAAAAACTGCTAATGAAAAAAAGCAGCCTGGGAGGCAGATTTTCCCTGGATTTTCTGGCAGGAACCAAACGACTTCCCATGCTATGTCTAATTGCTTTTGGGCACTTCAGTAGTGGCCAATCCCAAATTGAGCACATTGAGTATATATGAGACCCGTAAGGCAGTGCGCAACTCAGCAGCAACTTGTGTGTGTAAACTGGACATATAAAGAAAGCGAGAGTGTGTTTATGTCAGCCATCGTGAAAGTGATATTGCCATCGTACACTCAACGCTTACAGCCCCACGCCCACAGCCCGAAATGATCAGGTGCGGCTGCATAAACAGGGAGAGAGAGCCGGGAAAGCCCCCATTTGCGTAATTTTCGCACTTGGCTGTTGATTTATTGCCACTGTTCTGTGTAACCCAGTCTCGCGTTTACTGCGCTCGCACACACACACACACACACACACACACACACACACACACACACACACACAAACACACACACACCTGTGCAAACGACATCACTTGACTGTCAATCCCTTCATTGATCTTTCTGCGATGCTTTGAACAGTTCAGGGAGCCCACAGCCTATATCCTTAATTGGAGTCTTAGAAGACGAATCAAAGACGCAGATGCTTCAAAGCGGAGGGATCTTGTAAGAGGATCAGGTAATAACAACCAGAAGAAGGGAACATACCTGTTTGAACTCCAAGCTCGGATAATACCCGACACTTGACTCTAAAAGGGTTTCAAGTAGCTGTTAATTCTTTTTTAAATAGACAGAGTTTGTGATGCTGCAGGAAGCTTTTTATTAATCGTGACTTTGAACGTTAGTGACGTGTACAACAATAACGTGGTATATTATTTTTATTCTGCACAAAGACCGAATTTATATTCATATTGCAGGCCTATATTGCTTTTGAGAGGAAAGAAATTTCTCCACATTTCTAAATCTTTGATATTTGTCTGATAACAGTGTGGATTGGCCTGTACTTTTTGTACCATTTGCGAATGCTGACAAAAGTCAGCTGTAGCTTGTCCGTAAATAATTCAAAGACGATTAGGCTGGTCACAGAATAAGTTTCCCTTCTTCTCTTATTCGGCTTTGGGACCTAGGGGCTAAATCGCAGTTTAAATGTTGAATTCAAATGGGTTTTTATCTAAACAGTGGCACGTGGGGCTATGTTTCAGCCTATATGGCATTGATTTTGGCAGCTATACAGACCTGAGCTCGCGCACAGCTGCCCCCTCCCCTGGGAGCTGCGTTGACAAATGAGTCGACGGTGCAGAGGTGTTTGTGTGTGCGCGTGTGCGTCCTCTGCACGTCATTTGTGGCCCTACTTATATTAATTTCTACAGCATAACAAGAGGACCGATGCTTTGTGGGACAGCGGTCTGTTAATCTTATATTGTCAATCAAAATTCTTCAGCGGTTGTCTGTTGAAATGAACATTCACACTGAGGGTATCAATCCGCACTGGTTGTGTGCATGCGGCTGTATGCATTGTTTGGTTCCTCCTTTCGTTTACCTTTTGTTTGGCATTTATCTCCAGCAAAATAAAGAAAGAAAAATATCGTGAAGGAGACAAGAGCGATCGGAATCGCCCTCAGGCTGATCGGATCCTAATAAAGGCCTATACTGAATATTGACCACACCACAATAGAGATGTCAACAACCACATTTCTAAGCCTGTGAATAAGATGGAAGTAAAGAGTTCCCATGGTCACATGGTTTGCTTCAAACCCGCATTTCTCTTGGTTTGCAGCTCATTTTATTACAGCGTGAAGCCAAGCATATAGCCACCATAACAGCTATAAAAGCCCCAAGGGTTATTACCCAACCCCAACCCCTCACCCACTAGCAACAGCAACCCCCCCCCCCCCCCCCCCACACACACACACACACACACACACACACACACACACATAAAGAAATTACTGCCTAATCGAATGCCTGGACAATGGAATAACTGAATAAGTAGCCTAAAGGTTATTAATGCAAGTGGTTTCCAAAGCAAGGTTAGGCAAAATCCATGGGCTCCCTGGAAGCAGGACTATGAGACTCTATTTGAAAACATATACTCGTTAACTGCATTTCATTGACACGATAAAGTTGTATCCCCGACCATTTACAAAACCATATGTCTAAGATCTTACTTTTCATTCTTTCATGCTTGGAGGTTAGAAAATCAACCACAGCAAAGCCTATCAAGTTGACTGTGATGGTGCACACCTGGAGATCTGCTATATTTCAATAGAAATGTCTGAGTTGAGTCAGACTAAGAGGAATTCTACACTGGTCTGAATTGCTGACATTATCTTTAATAACTATCCCCATTGATAAGAGGAGTAGTTGAACAGCCATCAATAGTTGCATTTATATTGTGTTAAAGCAAACCAAAAAAATCAAAAGAACATGTTACAGGCTTTATAGCTGTAATTAGTCTTTTAAGGACTTTATTTCTATTAAGAGGTTTTGATATTCATTGTTTGATCTGTTTTTAACTTTTGGTTAAATGGAGCTTACAGGTCAGAGTGATCTACTGTGTTTCATGTGTGAACAGGTGACAGGCCCATGTGTAAGGCTTCACTCCTTTATTCTCCCAGCATCAAAGTCGGAGGAAAAGCCCCATCAGGTTAACATTAGTCTTACCTTTAAAGACTTAAATGAAGACTTCATCTTTGATATTTCTTTGATATCTGCTCTCCTCTGGCTCTTTTGATGCTGCAGTTCTTTCTAAAAAATTGATACCCCACTGACCCCCAACAAAAGAGGAAGACAGCCTCTTTTCAGATGTTCATTCATTGGTCATCTATAATTTCTCCATGAAAGATAAGATACCTTCTGAGTTCATTTTAAGTGAAAAAAACAAAACAAACAAACAAACAAACAAAAAAATTGAAGTGAAATACTTGATTTAAAGGACCTCAGATTTTTGTGGGGGTTTCTCATAAAATTTTTAAGAATTGTCAGTTTTTAATGTGGACATAGGTCTATGAAATGTTAATTAGATGTTTTATATGTACTCTGTGCAAGTCCACTTATACACATCTGAAAATAAAACTGTGGCTTAAAATATCTGACTTACAACAAAAGTTTTCTCAAGCAGCTTTAAAGGGAATAGACCACCACTGTACACTTTAGTTATATTAGTCTACAAACACCAAACACTGAAAAATCCTTGTTTGCTCTGACTCCAGCTGGTTCATTGAATGGCCTTAATTTTCAAAGTAACCATTCTTAGTGTGACCATGAGCATTTTTTTGTGTGTCTGATAGTAATCTTTACCCTAACCCTGCAACTGCAACAACACTTGGGTCCTCGAGGAACAGTTCCTGAATTGAGGTCAGTAAGCATGTCAGATACAATGGCCCTACTCTGACAGCACCCACCAACAGGGTTAACAAACACACAAAATAACATTAGAGAAAAAGCTACTCCTTTTCTAAAGGTTAAGTTAGCTGTTGCAGGTTATACACAGAAATTTTAATTCCAGTTTGTTTGATCTCTTAAAACACCTCACAGAAGCTGTAATCTCCCCAGAAAGGCAAACTCTGTTGGGCTGGTAGCAGTGTAAGCACTACATCTCGCGTTGACACCAAAGAACGCGAGAGTGCTGTCTGCAAAGTTATAACCATAAAAAGCACAGCAGAAGCCAAAACAGCAGCAATGGCCGCTTTCCGCAGAGTGGCATCGCTGGTTGGTAAGCTGAATCCCTGGTCGGCGGCGGGAAATGAGCTTGTCGGTGGTCTGTCGGCCGGTGGAGGAAGGGCACGGCGGTGTTTTGCAGCCGGTTTGTGTCTTGCAACGGGAGGTGCGATGGCACTTTACTTCTACAACGATATGACGAGCGCCAGAGGCAGAAGGAGGATGAGGATTCACAGCATCAGTGGTTTATTACCGTCCATCCCGACCGTGGAGGCAAAGGATAAGGTGGGAGGATAAGATAAACAGTAGCTGTGTTTTATAGTGGTGACACGGAGGATTTCATGACACGTAGCGATTTGGTGGGTCGTTGGCTGAAAAAAAAGTGTCCTCAGTGTTGACACAGGGGCCTCGGTGTGAAAACAGAAGAAACAGCAGAAGGCAGCTAAGGGAGATGCCATTGCTAAGAATTTTCACGTCTTTTTCCTCCAGAAAAACGCCCAACCCACAAAAGCACAGTGTTTGGCTCGCGGTCTATATGCTTCAAATGTGCGGTGGATAAACTGTGTCATTCACTCCCAGCATGCTCAGTGGAAAGTGTTCGCTCACAGTTTGGCTTCACTGCAGGACGGTGTGCGCGCGCAGGCGCAGGAATGTCGCTCTCCGCTTGAGCTGGTGCTGAAATGACAGTCATTGAGACAGCTGTGTACCCACAGCAGCCCACAGTCACTGCAGCCATGGCTTGAGTGACAGTATATTTCTGATCAAAGACTTAAAGGCCATGTAAAATGGGGAAGTGATGTGTGTTCTGAGAATGTCACACCACAGAAAAACGTTACCAACCACCCAGGCAAATTTGAATCATTAAAAAATCGCCCTGCATGTAAATATAAATACGTAGAATGTAAAAATGTGTAGAAAATCTTCAGGTATAACTTGTGTCAAAAACCTTATAGTTGAATAGGCACACATAATGTTTGTGGCAGTTAAAGAGAATACAGTGGCTTGATAAAAGCTATTCCCACCAACAGGTTAAATGAATTGGTTTAATTTTTTAGTGCATGCTTAATTCAACTCAATTGTTTTGCTTTTTACAACAGTTTTAAGTCCTTATTCACAATCTAAAGCAATTGTTACCAATGCTTTGATTTGGGAATTAAATGAATGATTGTATTGACTTTTAGATGCATCAGTAAAATAAATGCTTAATTGATACACCAGGGAGGCCTAAGACCATGAATAAAAGCCAAATGCACAATTTTAACTGTGTTTTGGGGGAAAGGTATGTGCTATGTTAAAACTATAAGTTATATGTTGAGAAATAATGTTGAGTTTGAATATATTTCAGAGGTACCCTAGACCCCTGCTGAAATCCAGTATAGTCTTGAATGTATTGTGCAATATACACCCATAATAAATTTGAAATATTTGAAACTCTGATGAGCTATCAACCTCCTTTAGCTTAATAAGCTCCCAAGATGAGTGACCTGTTCAAGCATTAGCCATTTTTATAAGATAAAGAGTGCAAGAGATGTGTGCAGGGTCCAAAATTATTCTTTTTAATCTCTGGTAAGTAGATGAAAAAAAAATCTCTGTCCAACCATATAGTTTTTTGTTGTGTAACATGCACAGTTGTTGCAGTGCATTTCTTAAAATAATGACATGCATACTAAAAGAGAACTTGTGAAGCTATCAGTGCATTTTTTTGTGTCAGCCAGCACCTCCTGGAACTCCGGTGTGCAGTGAGAATTGTAACACCAAATTTAGGTTATACTTAACATTTTTTGATTACACGACTATTTTGGTACAAACATTTGACAGCCAAGTGGCACGAGTGGCTAAGTGGCCTAGCGGCACATAGCCCTCTGAAATTTACAGTCAAAAAGAAACGTTTGCCACCATTTGGTGCCTGGCAAGTGTTAATTTTGGACCCTTGATGTACAGCTCCAGAGGTAGTTAAGATTTAGCACTTCTTTTGTGAGGCACAAACTCTAGAAAAATCCCCACTCTTGAGTGAGTCATATATTCTGGTATACTCGGAGATGTGTGGGCAAAGCTTTGGGCTTACACTAAAATAGTTTCAGGTACTTGGTCTAAATACTTGCTTCCTTATACTTACTTTCACATGTACCCTGTTTTGGACAAAAGCATCTGCCCAAGAAAAGTGACACATTTTTAACAACACAAAATTTGCAGGAATAAGAGGAGGACGATGTGTAATGGGAGAGGAAAAAAAGCATATCTTGTAAGGTTGATTTGATTTGATTTGAAAGCCAGTAACTTTGGTAAATACAAAACACAAATAGAAGACAACAGAGCGCTCAAAACTATTTTCTGTTTTTACTTGGAGTGCATCCACAGAGTCCAGTCTTTTCTTGTCAAAATGAAGAAAGATGGAACACCATTATGATGTGCAATGCTTATTAAATATGTATCTGGGACATGGGAAAAACACCTGTTCTTTTCCAGGCTAACTGATAACAGGTGTATTAAAGGGACTAAACCATGTGGTTAAAGAATCATGTCAATGATGTTACTGAAATGTTGGCTATCAAGAACTGTGTTTTAGGGATGTTAGGACAAAAGAAGCATTTTAAGCCAAATTGAAGCATTAAAAACCAAAGGAAGATCAATAGGCATCCAACTTTTACTGCAGGATAACCCCACTGGGGAAAAGAAAAAAAAAACAGCCATCTGTTTCTCCCTTTGTGTTTCCAGAAGAAATTTGACGTAACTGTGAGAGCTCACATGAAGAGAGAAAAAATACGCTGGGAACCAAAAGTTTCACCTGAAAAGAAAGCAGTAATTCAAAAACATTCTCTTTATTATATTCCAATCTTAACTTATCATGGTGGGTTTCACTTTCCATGTTATTGATGGGGTAAAGGCATTCAGTCCTGTTTTTCATACTCCTAGCGCAAAATGGAAAGGTTCACATCTAAGTGAGTTTGACTGTGACCTCAGAAAGAATTCTTACTCAGAAAATCAAGGAGATACACTGAAAATGGTGACTCCACCCTGAAATTTTTTGAAAATTAGTAGTTAGGTGAGGGAGATTAAAAGAAAAAATAGTTTTGATTAGGGCTGCAGGATATGAGATTTTTGATTTTATATCCCGATACGATATACATCACAATATAGTACATTTTTTGTAAATTCAATTGATGCATAGTTTATATAAAATTGCCACGTAGAAATGTAGTTTAAATTATATATTCAACAAGTTACGTTACTAAACAAGACTTCTTTTATTTAGAACCCTCTGAAAAACATTGAAAACACTTTTCAATAATTCAACATTTTTCAACAATTCACCTTTAAATCCGCCAGCGGCGAGGCGTATTACAATTTTCGTGAAGTAGTCAAAGAGATCAAGAGATGTCTGAAGACAGCAATGCCACTCGATGGCGACAGAAGGCAGCCCCTCAACAAGTGTCGCTGTAAGCGCTGCTGAGGCTGTCCTTCACACTCTCTCATATAAGCACATATGGATTTGGTGTGTGTAATGTTGGACCCACTGGTAAGACAAACACCCTTTTACACAAATAAAGACACTCACATAAAGTTGCACATATTCAAACCTCACGTGACAGAGGTGGGTTGTGCCCACAGATCACAACATAAATTCCAATAATGTTAATTCGGTCAGGTGGAGTGTCCAAACGCGTGCCAAACTCGCTCATCAGATCAGATATAGATCAGAGTATATATGTATGTGCTGACTCAGAATAAAACTACAGCGGTCTGCTCCGTGTCGCTCCTTTTAAAACCAAACCACGACCACACAACTGACGTTGCCCCCCGTTTCGGCAGCAGCTCCTCCGTCTGCGTTGGCTCGTCTGCGTTGGCTCGTCTGCGTTTGATGCACGAGAATTGTCATCTCTTTCGCCACAATAACCCGGCTCCTCCATGCTTGTTTGTGTTTTTCACAGTGGCAGTAGCGCGTGCGGGCATGATATATATGGAGCGTCACGACGTAAAACACTGCCGTAAAGCGTGTTTTTGCGACACCGCGATAGAAACGATAGAGCTCATGTATCCCGATAGAAATTTTCTATCGTTTAGATGAAACATATCGTTATATCATGAAGCCTTAGTTTTGATCCCAAGGTTCGACAGGTGGTTAAAGCTGATGGTATCTTATTTAGGTAGAAGATTTGACTTTATTTTAACTGAACTGAAAAAAAGAAGAAAAAAATGAATTTTCCATCGAAGAGGGGTACATGGAAAAGGTGTGACATCCAAGGAAGTTGAGTAGATGGAGTAGAAACTGTAAAAGTGAATGAACTCTGTGCAGCCTGAGCGAAACACCTGCCATGTAGCCTTAAGGGGACCGGAGCATGGCTGTGACTACACTGCATCACAACCACACAGGAACACAGTGTACCACCGCAGTAGTTTTCAATCACATCTTTTTTAAAAAAGAAAGCTTACATGACTTCATAGATCACGTCGTGCAGCACGCCTGTGCATCAAGCTGCCTTATCAGAACTTTTTAAACTTCTTTCATTAGTGTGAGTTGAAGCCATGGGCGTCTTTGCTCTTAGACTTGATTACAGTGCATTCCTATGAAGCTGAGTGCTCATCTCCTATTCATGCCTTTGAAAAGCCCCCTCGGTGAAGGCAGCATCAAAGCTTTATGAATGAATCTGTGGGCTCATTAGGTTATGTTAGCTGAGCTGAGTGTGAATCTCGGTGCACTGGGGCCTGCAGCCAAACAGGTTTAAATTTGGAAACCTCTCCACTAATTGCACAGCTTCATCCAGCACAGTCTGTTGGCTTAGCAGGTCTCCTACACTGCAGCTAATCAAGTTGAAGCCATAGCTCCTCAAAGAAGCAGAGCGAGAATGAGAGAAAGAGAAAGAGGAAGAGAGAGAGAGAGACAGAGAGAGAGAGAGAGAGATGCTAATTAGGTAAAAAGTAGTGACAAAGTACTTGCGCATGTTCGTATGTGCCCCTGCTCTCCTATTATTATACTGTGCCAGAGGTGCTTATAATCTGAGAGAGCTAAAAAGAGAACTGATGCCAAGAATACATGGGTTCCCTTATTATAGGGGCTCAAAAGAAGTGAAGAGGCAATTCCAGTTGAGACTCTGTATGAGAGGCAAGAGTTTTTTTTTGCATAGAGAGAAAAACAGAAAGATCTTACAGAGTCACATTCAAAGTATAATCACTTTGGTAAATTAACTTCTGCCACCGTTCTCATTCTCATTCTCATTCTCATAGTACTGCAACTAGTTGAAACAGCTATTCTCTTTCTTATTAAGCCGTTGATCATGTTTGTGATTAAAGGTATAGGTAGGCCTGTCACGATAACAAATTTTGCTGGACGATAATTGTGCTACAAATTATTGCCGATAAACGATATTATTGACACCGTTTTTTAAATTATAGATAATGATATCAAATGGCATAATAATGCGAGTACACCGTGTCAAAAGTGATAAACTTTAATTTTACCCACGACGAAGACGTAACGTTGACGAGCTAAACATAAGTCGGAGATGACTAAAATGTGACGAGACGAAAGTGCGTTTACGTTGATGGGACGAGACGAAAATGACGAACAGAGTTGCAAAACTCAGTCAGTTAAGCGCTAAACATATAGGAGCAGCTCCAGTCCGCTCTGACAGCTCTCATCAGCCTGCTGTGCTCCTCCAACACACAGACACACACGAGCGCGCGCGCACACACGTGGAGTTTTGTGGTTGACGAAAACAAAACTGGTTTAAAGCCGAAATATTCCCACACTTGGGCTGTTGCGTTCGGTTTAGACACCAAAGCTGTCGTGTTCACTCTGTTTGCTTGCTTTTCACTCACGACGCTCACTTGCAGCACTGTATCCAAAAGTCTGTCTGTGTGCCTGTGCGCGCCTACGTGTACCTGTGCGCGCGCCCCCCCGTGACAAAGATACTGAATGACTGACAGGAGGGTTCACTGACTCCGTTCATTCCGCTATAGAGCCAACGCCCCCAGGTGCCGAGAAAAATGCGCAGAGTGAGACCTCTTCTCTCATCCAGCCTGTTTGGTAGCGAGAGAGGAGGAAAACAAACGCACGTCAATTATCGAGGCTGGCAAAATGACCGACCTCGTTTTTATTTACCGAGCGATAAGGCGATTTATTGATTATCGCGACAGGCCTAGGTATAGGGCCTGATCTACTAAAAGTTTGTGTGTGCAAAAAACATAGACTGTATATAGAATGGACGCCATCTGCCTCCTCGCTGGGTGAAGCCTCTGCGAGAACAGCACCCTCTGGTGACAGGCTGCAGTACAGTTCATAAATCCACCTCCAGCAATCCCTATGAAGTTGTGGACAAACTTTACAAATTATTTACACAGAATATACAGTTTTCTCCTCCCTGCTTGTGATGTTGACATGTAGTTATTGTAAGACTAGTTTGTGCTCAAGTTCCCTTTTTCCTGAGCAGCTCCGTTTTTAAAAGTTATTAGGGGGTTCATGCTTTCTTTGATTGACACTTGATACAGCCTATGGTAGGCCTGGACGATATAGAAAAAAAGCATATCGATAAAAAATAAATCATATTGATCGATATTGATAATTATCGATATAATTATTATAATTATTTAACATATATTTTAATTGCAGCCCTGGATGTTTTATGCTATTGCTTAATGAATGACCTACTTTTAATAAAGAACACACAAGCACTGAATTCAAATTCAAACCTTCATTCAACCACCTTTTTTATTTTACCACAACTGAAAGTTTTTTTTAAAAAGAACTAAAAAAAAAAGAAATCAACTTAAGTGGCCTGAGTGACGTCAGTAAATACTGACAAACATAAAGACTAAAGTGACCAGAAAATCTGATAAATAAATATTTAAATAGTCTTTTGATGAAAATAAACAAAACAAACAAATATATAAATACACAGAATAGCTTTAGGTGGGAATAGCATACTACTAGTTTTAACTGTGTGGGAAACTGCCCACAGCCTGGTGTCTGAACACTGAAATATTTATCCCGGGGTCAGGAGATTTATTTTTTTAATTATCATGTGATTGACTTAATACACAAACTAAGCACGAGAAGCAGGACTTATCCACCCCGGTGTTGTGTCGTAGAATGCACCCCTGCCAAATGCACCCCCTGCTAGTAGCCAAAATCCAAATACTCGCGTCTTTGTAAAATATGAGCTCATTTTCTTCCACTTAAAGAAGCTAATGAGTGGACGGGATGCAGGGGTGCATTCTACGGCACAACACCGGAACGTATTTCCTCTGCACCCTTCTCACCTTTTCAACCCCTGATCCATTTTTATGCCTGAAGCGCTGTGTTTGAGAAATACTTGCGGCCGGGCAAGAGTGGCTAGAAGCTGGTCGAAGCCAGGCTTTTCAACGGTAGTTATTGGCAGTATGTCCCTCGCTATGGAGCATGTTACTGCATGGGTGATGTCCTTATGCCGCTCGGACGCTTTGTCGTATTTTGGCAAGAAACGAAGTCCAGTTTGGTCTGCTTCACATGCTTTGTGCTGGTGCTGGCAGCGGTTCCAGAGGATTCCTCCGACGATGACGTGGAGCCGCGGCGCGGCAGACACAGCTCGTACTCCTGCGGGTGCGATCGGTTTAGATGGTAAAACAAGTTGGTTGTGTTACCAGACTTGGCTTTTACTAATTCTCTGCAAATTTTGCAAACGACCGCTGTTCGCTTTTTGTCAGACTTCTAAAAACCAAAACATTGCCATGCTGGTGAACTACTGAAACCTTTTTTCGGGACAATGTCCTCCGCTTCTCCTTGCTGTATCATTTTTTCTAATACACATGCTGTCTGTTGTGGTTTGATAGGGGCTGGGCTTGGTGCCGTAGCGTACCTGGGTCTGCGTTTGTGATTGGTTGGGAGGAAGTAATGACTGTAGTAAAAGCTACATGATAGGCTATGATGAAAAAGAAAGGGAAACTGTGTTTTTCTATCTAACTTTTTATCGACCCGTTTTTTTTCTATCGCACCACACGTCTATCGATCGATATATATTGTTATCGAGTTATCGTCCAGCACTAGCCTATGGGCATACGAAGATTGCCTAGCTCACCTGGGGGATATGCTGTTTGACCCAAGCGTCATCACAGCGACTCTAAGCGACTCTTCTGCTGAATGTGTACAATGCTACCGTGCAAGTGGTGGAGTGCGTACAACGCTATCGCGCAATGTTGGACGTGGAGAAAAAACATGCAAATACCGAGAGCTTTTTGGCTTCAAATCTGTATACTGACGGAAGGCAGAACCAAGTTGTTCATAGTATATAGAGTCTATGGCAAAAACATGTGCATGATAGCGCAAGCAAACCTGATCTACTAACCAGGTGCACCGAGGATTGCGTCTGTCAAATGAGCAAAAGAGCATGGGCAGTCGATTTGGCGTGTTTGCCTTCATGAATATGCAGAATGTATGTAGATCATCAGAAAGCACAAAATACTGGGGGGAGCAGATGCAAATGAAATCATTTTGCACCAGCAATGTGATTTATCAAATCCTGTAAACCAATTGCGGTTGCTGTTTTGCATCCATATTTAGCAAGTTTGAAAGGCAAACTGGCACAGCATTACGCATGGTCATTGTGGGGAGAAGGAGGCGGAAGAGCAATGATAAACGACAGAGAGAGAGAGTCTTTTGTGTGCGTGTGTCAACATATTTGGACTGTCAGTAATAGTAACAATAATGCTGGATGACCTAAGGGCTGATTTGGAGCCAGTCACAATAATGATCAGTGCCATATCTCCTATTGAAAAACTCTCTGTAACACTGCATTTTCCTGTGTCTGGTGGTTTTTAAATCTAATGTCAAACACAGAACACACGAAAGAAATTATCTGTTTGTCTTATTGATTTTAAATAGTTTTAATCCCTTTTTTTTGATTTCTAAAATATTTTCTTGTGTCTGTAAAGCACTTTAAGTTGCCTTGTGTATGAATGGTGCTAGCCCACAAATAGACCTGCCTTGCTTGCCTTTTATGCAGTTCCCCAAAATGATATGTGCAACTCCATGGCTTCAAACCTAATTTTTCCTCTACGACCACTCTGCTCTCACAAACTCTTCATGTTGACAGCCGATAGCGCACGCAAAATCCTCTCTAGAGAGGGCAGTCCGCACCACTTTTGCACTGTTATCAATTACGCACGCAATGATAGTAGATCACCCGCAACACGCCCACTAATAGCACAGGCAATTTTTTAGTTTGCACACGCAATTTAAGGATTTGGGATCTTAGTAGATCAGGCACGTTGTGTATTGTGATGGGAATACTTTGCAATTTCTGCTGATCTGATTCAAGACTGAAACGCTCCCTTCCTCATTTCTCCCTGCTGTCTTTTCTCCATGAAAGGGGACCCCTCTTACAAAGACATAAAAAAATAAGTCTACATCAATGAAAATAAAATGTTTTTGACATTTAGGTAATTATACATTAAGTTAAAATCCTTACATTGTAGTCCATTTCTGTTCTGCTATATGCCATTTATTACTATACACTGCAACTTAAAAAGATAAGTTGTTTTCTTTATGAGAGGAAATAGTTGATTTAAAATGTTAAATGTTAAAATATTAATATGAAGAAAATGTCCAAAAGTTGGTCATTTTGGTTTTGTGCTGATATTGCACTGCTGTGAGGTTAAACTCTGTCTTACACCAAACTTCCATAAGATATTCTGACTGTCTCTGCTCTGGTTTGATTTTGGCTCTGTGACCCCCTGGCCTGTCAGCATCTGCTGGCTGCATTTTCAGGATATTCATGCACGTAGCAGCACCACTGGATAGCTGGAGCTAAAAGACCAAAGATTTGCTCACTATGGTCAGTTTGTGTAGTTATGTGAAATAGGATCTGGTGTTGACACAGAGTGTTTTGTTTTGAAAATTAACCAGATGTTTTAATATTGTTTCATTGTCTGAGCTTCTGTCACCTTCATTCTGCCCTGTGCCCTTTGATGCACCGTGCTCCAACATTTGTAAGAAAACATTCACATCTGTTCCACTGTGGCTTTGGTGGACCAGTGTTGTTTCATAAGCCTAGTTCAGGCTACTGGCTTCAGCAGGGCAGGGTATCCAGTCAAGAGGATGTCAAATTCATGTCTTTTATTTTGCATTTTCTTTTGTCTTTTCATCTGCAGGCCCGTCCCTTTGACTTTGAGGAGGGGGATGTGTACATGTCGTCCCATGAGCACCGCTTCTGCATGTTCAGCTCAGTGGAGTATGAAGGGCAGCTGTACATGACTCCACAGAACTTTATTGAATCAGTCACCATGAGTGAACCCAGAAGTACGACACACACACACACACACACACACACACACGCAGGGTTTTAGCAGGGCAGATAATAGCATATTACAGGAGAATCGTTCACTTGTGGATAAAAACACCAAAATTGGCACACATACTCCTTAGAAGTTGCTCTTTTGATATTTCCGTCTGGCCAAATGAAAATTCAAGATGGCGGCCATTTTTCAAGATGGCCACCATTGAAAATACAGTAATACTGCATTTTGCATTAAAATCCCATAGACTTGTCCTATTTTGATGATCTTGGTGTCAAATCATACATTTTCCACTATGCAGAATCCAAATTACGACCCATGGACTTACTTACTGGCTTCCTTTTACCATATTTCAGTCCTGGAATCCTAATATTCTGGTATATGAGGTTTACATTGGCTGTTCAGACAGCATGTGTGGCCTCACCAAATGTGGTCATTGTGACCAAGGAAGATGATGTTATCAGCAACAGTACTATTAATCTGGCTGGGGTGGCACCATGCAGTCATGAAGAAGCTGACACCCGGATCTTTGTGCATGCCAGGCATGCCACAGAAGCAGGCAGCAAAGTCATCATGGTCAAAGCCAACGACACAGATGTTGTTGTCATCGCAGTGAGTGTTCCGGGACTGAAATATGGGACAAGGAAGCCAGTAAGTAAGTCCATGGGTCGAAATTTGGATTCTGCATAGTGAAAAATGTATGATTTGACACCAAGTTCATCAAAATAGGACAAGTCTATGGGATTTTATTGCAAAATGCAATATTACTGTATTTTCAATGGTGGCCATCTTGAAAAATGGCCGCCATCTTGAATTTTCATTTGGCCAAACGGAAATATCAAAAGAGCAACTTCTAAGGAGTATGTGTGCCAATTTTGGTGCTTTTATCCGCAAGTGAACGATTATTACAGTTATCTGCCAAGCTATTTAGGCTGTATTAGCTGAGCGAGATCGTGTTGGTTCCACAAATACTGAAACTACAGGAAAGTTACAGAATGCAGATGTTTTAGATCCAACAAGTGTTTAGTAAAATGGACATACTGATATGTAGTAAAGTAGTGGAATCATAGCGTCAAGGTAATTAGATAACTGTATGTACCACCGAGCTGAAATGACTTTAGGAGATGGGACAAGTAGAAACTGTAACAGCCATTAAGCCATAATAACTCAAGGTTTTCTGAATGCCTTCTCACTGGTTTACTTTGGCCCAAGCCAACAGTCCTCAACTAGGTTGTGTCATTTTTATGTATGAAACATAAGCTTATTTCATTGTGCTGGGTGCAAATCACTTGAGTTGAGACGTTTTCTTCAAGAAATTTGCTACATTTCATAATCTGAATTCACTTATTCGTATACTAAGGCACCAATAACTGTTTCAGATGTTAGGTAGATGTATTTATGACATTAGAGAAAGATTTTGTCTTGCCAGAATCAACACAGCAGTTTCTACAAGCAAAAACAGCAGCACCATATAATTGTTTTTTTTTGGGTTACTCACATATATATTTACATTTCTGGCTGGTGACAAAAGTCGGACAGATAGTCTGAGTAGATATTTTAACCCAAAGTCCAGAAGGGTATTGTCTATGCAAAAATGCATTGAACAAGTAGCACCAGCGTAGTTGAACGAAATTCACTTTCTAGGCGGTTTTTCCTTTGTCCCAATACAGCCTATGACCTCGAGCGAAGTTTCTATCACGGAGTTTCAGATGCCGTGGACGTGGATGCGTCGGCGATGCTGCCTGAAGGGTTTGACTGACCTGCGGCTGCATCACGTTCTTGTTTCTCAAACACCTTGTGCAAATAAATCACTGGTAGCATGTCATGTGAAACCCAGCATCATCAGGAACATTGTCAAAGTCGATATCAACGCAATGTTTATAAGTTTCTGCAAGGTCCTTTGTCTCACCCTGTAGAGAAAGCCACTTTCTAATACTAGTTCTGTAAGTTTCCCAACGTGGTCTTGTAAAGTCGAGAACGTCTTCACTCTGGACAGATGATAGGTGCATATAGCATTGTTTCGTTCCTTTTTTATGCACTTTTGAAGGCTGTTTTCTTTTTTTTCCTTTTCTTTTCTTCCTCTTCGCTTGTCTCGCTGCTAGATGCGCTCGTCGCCATGTTTGTGTATTTCTGATACTATGACAACGAGACTCGGCTCCTATTGGTCCACGTGACTAAAAACGCTTCACCCCCTGCATATTCGATTGCACTTGTGCAAGTATCACTACGCCGCAGAAAGGAAATAGTTCGACACCGAAACACAGTTTTCAAAAATCGGCTGGATGACACGAGTAGATATCTTTTTTTAGTATTTACTGACAAAAGAGCTATTTTATGAATCACAGTTTTTGTTGCACCAGCATAGTGGAACGAGATTCACTTTCTAAGCACTTTTTCCTCTGTCCCAATAAAGCCTAGTTGAGGACTGTTGGCTTGGGCCAAAGTAAACCAATGAGAAGGCATTCAGAAAACCTTGAGTTATTATGGCTTAATGGCTGTTACAGTTTCTACTTGTCCCATCTCCTAAAGTCATTTCAGCTCGGTAGTACATACAGTTATCTAATTACCTTGACGCTATGATTCCACTACTTTACTACATATCAGTATGTCCATTTTACTAAACACTTGTTGGATCTAAAACATCTGCATTCTGTAACTTTCCTGTAGTTTCAGTATTTGTGGTTATACTTTGTGACATACTTGTCTTTGTGCGTTTTAGATATCAAATAAGCTAAACTACTTTGTTAAATTGATTTCCCAACAGTCATGTCAATTTTAGATAGAAAAAAACAACCTTTTTCTTATTAAAAATACATCATGTTTTGGAGGAAGTCCTTGCTATTTCTGTCAGCCTGCTGCCAGTGGTTGCAGATTAGTCCAGCCTCAAAGCGGATGGCTTTACAGCCATTGTTTAGTCTAAGGGTTCAGACATGTACACATACTCACACACCTGACACACATCCTGAATTGTCACATTCAGTTATAGTAAATCAATGCTTTCTAGCATTCTATGAACCATTAAACTATCTAAATTTGGTGCTTAACTTTTTATTTTTAACAAACTGGCTAAAATGCTCTCATGTGTTGAGGTTATCAAAAACATCCATGCATAGACTCGGCCGTTCCTTCCTTCAGCTGGTTTGTGATTCTATTGCGTGCAAACTGTGCACCTGTATGTGTGTGTTTACATCTGCCCTGGCTCACTGACATATGATACTGCCGCACATAACCTCTCAGCAGCTGACATCCTCTAATGCCTCCTTTGAAGTTGAATTAGATGAACTTTGTTGTATAAAACAGAACAAAAGTACTATGTGCTTTGACAGAGACATTCCACATACTACAAAGACAAGCATGGGGCACTTTAGACGCTACAAATGGGCTTGTGATGATGACAGTGTATATACAGTGAGTGTGTCTGTGAGTTGGCGTGTGTGATCATGTTGTGACTGGACCTGGCACATTAAGACCCATTTCTAGATCATACAGATGCTATCTGACCAAGCCCACCCAAACTCTCTTCTCCTTTTCTCTCCTCCTTCTCTCCTTTTTCATCGTGTTCCCGGCAGACAAGAGGCCCTGGAGGTCCCTGACCAAACAGGTGGGAAACACACTCTTAATGCCTCTGTTGCTGGCATCTGTTTCATGTTACTTTTGTAGCAGGTCCTGTAAACCTTGCAACATTCAAACCTTGTTTGGCAAGTATTGCTCAGTTTTTTGTGTTGAAACATATATGTTACATGTAGCAAAATAGAAGATTACAGATCTTAATCTGATCTATGGACAATATATGTAAAGAAAAACAAGTGGGGCTCCTGCGAAACATTTCTGCTCTACACAGTGCATTGATAACTGAATGTTGGGTCTATAGTCTTTGGTAAAAAAAGAAATTTACACTGCATGAAACCTAAATGAAAGATGAAATATCAACATAAGATGTGATTTTAGCAACCATATGTGAAACTGAGAATACTTGTCCTGTCAAAGTTTGTACCAATATTAATTTCTTCATGAGTGGTATATGTGTACACTCATCTTTCTGCCATCTCTTTTAGATTTTTTTCTGATGTTTTATTTAATAAAAAAACACAACAGCCAAGAGCATGTCCAGCTATACTTGACTAGGGTGGCCAAACTGGGGCATCGACATAAACATTGGTGGTTAAGATACAATATCTGTGCCTTTAATTGTGTTTACCTCTTTATTATCTACTTTATGTTTCTTATGCAGGAGTTTTTGACTTTAAAGAAAAACAACAGACCCTAACCCTAAGTCTTTTTAGCTCAATTCTATAAGAGTTCAAAAAGATGTTAGTCTAAGGTCAATAAAATGATAACAATAGGGGAGAGACCAGGGCTTGTTGTCACACTTTTTACATTCTTATATATTTCTTGGAATCAATACACCATATACAAACACAATGTGAACCAGATGAAAGACCAAAGTCTCAGATGTATATTTCGTATTCAGGTCATTTTCATATCTTGTGTCAGTGCAGAGTTATAGGCAATCAAAGAGAGAGTGTGAACATGTGACATGTTGCCCCACCATCAGGTTAGTTGTCTCACTACACGGGGTAAGATGTCACAGTGGATTTTGCAGCTAATAAAACAAGGACAAAATTATTGTTGTTCTCATTTTTTTACTTGAAAGTGAACAACAGTCAGGCACAGAAAATGTTTATCATTGAGAAAGAAAAAGTTGTTGGGCATACAGTAGCCATTGAACAAACGTTAACATAGAATATTATGCAACATGCTCTGGAGTTTGTAGAGTTGTCTGACTGTATTTCAGCTGGGGTGAATGTTTTGCAGTACGAAGCCAAGGTATGGTAATTGACATTAAAGTCCTTTATTGTGCTCCAGATTGATTTATAAGCTAAAGTCACCTGTCTGACTGCCCTCAGCATCACGTCAGGTACTGCACTTCCACGTCTGTTTTTCTTTTGTAATTCCTTACCCATGTGAAAACAAGCCACGGTCTCCCCTATATATAGAAAATTCATTTCCCTCAATATCAATATAAAACGTGGTCACTCTTGATAGTCTGCATTCTGCCATGTTTTAGTAGATTATTCAAATAGCCAATGAAAAGGGGAGTTGCTCTGGGTCTGCTTCGTCCTGAACCAATCATGTGCTGAATTAGAACCAAGTACAACTGTGTAGTAGCAGGCTGCAGCTACACACAACCATAGCACTTTTACATGTGAAACTGACAGCACTGTCGGTGAGAATAAAAGAAAATGAGTGCTACCCCCAGCAGAAATTCAGATAAACGCTCAACAGATGATGACATCGTCAACAACACTAGCACAAAAACATTTGTGTACTGTAAATTATGTCGAGTACATGCTCTCACAAAGTCGGAGAATACCTCAAATCTTTTTCACCACCTGAAGCAGTGCCATGCGGTACAGCATGTGCAATGCAAAAGGTTACAAACCCCAAGCAAAGCAAGGAGCCCATGGTGCCTGTGCAGCTGAAACAATCAACCATTCAGTCCACTTTCTCTAGAGCAACGCCTTATGACAAAACGTCAAAGAGACACAAAGACCTCACAGATGCAGTAGCTAATTGTATTGCAAAAGACATGCTACCAATAAGCACTGTTAATTTTTTTTTTATATTGTGATATATATTGATATTGACTGATATGAAAAAAATATATTGTGATAAACTTTTTTCCCATATTGCCCAGCCCTAGTCTTAGGTCACATTCAAAGGCACCAACCAAAAATCGCTAAATTCAAATTTAGTGAAAGGCGCTGCCAGCTATTGATGAGGGAAATAGTCATTCATGACTTAGGATGTTGCGGTGGTTAAGCAGCTTTCAAAGTGGGTAGTGCCACCTCTTGGTTTCTTACTGTACTTTTTTTCAAATCATTCAAACAGCCAAACTTATGAGCTAATCTATATATAGATGTCATTAAATTATCTAATCTTTTCTTTTACTTGATTGTTGGGAAAATAAATACATATACAAATTTAACCTACTTGTTAGGGTAAACTGCTTTCTGGCCCCCTTCACATAGCATGCTATCCTCTTTTCCCTCTGTCTACCTCTCTTTGTCTTATTCTTTAAAGTTAAAAGACTTGTAGCTCTGCTGTGTATGTTTGATAACTCACTTTAAAATTTTACATTTTTGTGTATGTTTGTCAGGAGCTGGAAAAGATTTTGGCAGATACTCCCCCTGTATGGAGAGGATCCTCTAAACTGTTCCGCAACCTGAGAGAGAGAGGTCAGAGACAGTTGTCGTCCTGAGGGCATACCTGCTGATGTGTGACCAAATTGTGCTTGTGAGCAAGTGTGTGTACCACTGTAGGTGTCTCTAATCTGAGGTTGGAGCCATGCTGTCCCTCCTATCAGCCAAACAACCTGCTGAAAAGGCTAAAAATAAACCTCCTCTCCTCTCCTCTCCTCTCCTCTCCTCCTCTTTTTTTGCATATGGAAAAAAACAAACTTTATGGTGCTGGAAAGAGAGAGAGAAGGAGCTTTCCTTCATTAAGGCATTATCAACACAACCAGGAAGCTAGTCCTTGTAATGATAGTTACTCATAGTTACATGCACATGCAGGATATATTTTCTCTTTATTTAAGTGTATGTAAAAAGATGTTTTTTTTCTATGACTGTGTTGAATTGACACCAGTAGTTAAAGCATTACCTTCGTCTACTGTATTAACCAGAGTGGTGCAGTGAAAAAGGGGAAGAGAAAGACAGGAAAAAGAACAGACATCAGGCAAATTAGACTAAAAGCACAGCAACTCAAAGAAAGGTGAGGTGATGCAGAAAAGATGGCAAAACAAAATAAGTGAAAAGAATTCATATTCACAAAAATAGGAAAAGGTAAAATAAAGAAAAAAAGAGCAAAGTTTAAGACGGAAAATCTATCCTGGCTCTTAAAGAATACAGTGTATTTCTATATGCTGCATGTCTGTTCAGAGAATGGTTGGCATATTGCCAAGACCACACACACACACACGTACGCACGCACGCACACACACACACACACACACACACACACACACGCACACACACACGCATGCGCACGCACACACAAACATATACCCTGAAAGCATGCGGTAGTTTCTCTTACAATTAATTTTCACTCAGTTTTCCTACAATGTGTGACTATTTTGTAGAAATTTGGATGTGTGTGTGTGTGTGTGTGTGTGTGTGTGTGTGTTCGCACGCCCATGCATGCATTTGTGAGTCTGCTGATGTCAGGACATGCTCTTGTCTTCATGCCATGATGAGCGAGGACAGTTAAAATCCTTGGGATGGCTTTGGATTTCTGAGAATGAAAGAGGAATGCATCGTGCTGCCAGAACATTGTTGACTTTGTGTGTTTCTGTGTGTTTTGTCTGTGTATGACATTGGTTGGGTCACATTTACTATATTTCCCAATATTTGTTGATATCTGCCACTATTTGTGTTGATGCAGCAATAAGAATATTGCTATATTTCTAACATTCATGGTACATGTTATTACATTCATATTTATAATGGTTTGTTTTGAGGTTTTTTGCTTAATTTGCCTGAAACGGATCACCAATCGGGTGCCCAAGACAAATAGATTAACAGCTAAAAGTATATTAAATAAATCTTTCTTAAAACTGTCATTGACTGATAGCATTCTGCAAAAACACATTTTTCCAGTCGTATGTCAATAAATGTGTGTAAATGTAAATATGCCAAGTGTATTAGGGAAACCTGAGTAGTGTCAAAGTGTATCTCCTGGTCTCTGCAAAGCTCGGGCTACATGGTGAAAAGAGAATTCAGTTCCAAACCAGCTCCTCTGCACAAAGCAGCTGAGCATCAGGGAAACACAAGGCTCACACTGGCCTTAACTGGTATCATGTTCCCCTACACACACATACACACACACATGGGAAAGCAGTCTCCCGTAACACTCAAGCGAGTCACCCTGAACTATCTGAGCGATCAGACAGAAAGCGAAACAGAGAGAGAGAGGGATGAGCGTGAGCTACAAAGATTCCTAAATGGGCCTGAGGCAAGAGAGGATCATCTCCTGAAACATTTTTCACTTGCTTATCCAAACACAGACACAGACACACACGCGCGCACTCACACACACACACATGCACATGCATGCGCACACACACATTCACACACACATACACACAGCCACACCAGCCGCTGTCTTTACTTTGGACACTTGGGGTGTAGAAAAAGAAACGGTGTGTGGCCAAATTGCTGTTGGCGGCTTAGCTTGAGAAGACACATTTTAAGATGCTATCTTCATGAAAGGAAGGATTATCTGTGAGAGTGTGTGTCAGGAGGCCCACACTCTTTGAACATCTGTAAACATTGTGGGTGTGTGTGTTGAATGTGACCTTTTCCTTAACTCTCCTTGTCTTGGTTCTATTACAGGCATCATCTCATACACAGAATACCTGTTCCTGCTCTGCATCCTGACAAGTATGTCATCTCAGTCCCTCTAAACAACCTCAATCCCTTTGCCCCTGTTTTACTTTATTATTCTATTGGTCAAATTTCACTGTAGCACTACCCTTAATTTAAACTAGTTTAGCTAAGGCATGTGAAATAAACTTTGGCCCACCCAGAACCTAACAAGAGGCAATTATGACTGCTGGGTTTTCCCTACCCCTTGGGGTGATACAAAAAGTTAAGAGAAGAAAGAAATAGAAAGAAAAGAACACGGCTGCTTATACTCTCAAAACTGAAACCTAGACAGGCATGTGAGGCTTAACTGTTCAACTTAACAAGTGAAAATCACTGTCAGCCAGCCTTTAATAACCATGTTTTACTACACTGCGTAATAGAAAGTTTTCCATTTCAGGTCTAAAATGTTTGACTGTCTGTTGCTTTCATGCCTAAAATTACTCTTCTCTTTTTGAGAAACTGACAGAGAGCCAAACTCTGTGAATGCTTCATGTCATCTTCTCCTTTTTACTACCATGGAAGTCTGTTTTTGTTCACATCTAAGGGAAGAGAATCTATTTAACATGAAATTTAACATGAAATATTGATTAATGAAAGGTTTCTTTGACTGCTGTTTGAGCAATGTAACTTTCAATTAACTGCATAGTACAAAAGTAATAAATCCAATTTTTTAAACAATATACAAGCACTTATCCCTCTCTAACGTAGAGTTTCAATGCTTAAGCTAGATAAAATCTAAATGAAAACTGTATCTAAAGTCTGGGGAAAATGGGCAGTTTTTTTTAAATGTCTTTTATTTTGTGTGTATGTGAAAAGATATTTGTGCCTCCTGCTCTGCTCTTTTAAAATACATTTGCCAAAGCTTAATTTAGTTAGGTAAATTAGCAATTTCTGATCACAAAGAAAACGGTTTGAGTGTTGCAATAAAACTGCAGACATAAACAGTTGTTTATAAAGTGTGTATAGGTTCACCTTCTCTTGTCCTGCCTTTTAGCCACTTCATTTTCATGCTACGTAATATTTATAACCGTCTTTAAAATACAAATATGCAAGCTAACTCGCTTAAAATATGACGCTACATTCACCCTGTGTGCTCCCCTCTCTATCCTCCAGAGCCCCACGCTGGCTTTAAGATTGCTTTCAACATGTTTGATGCAGACGGCAACCAGATGGTGGACAAGAGGGAGTTCATGGTGGTGGGTCTCGAATACCAAGACAAAAATCCATCCCATTATTTTACTTATCTGTTTATGACTAACATTGACTTCGACTGGTCCCATATACACATTTTTAACGCTCAGTGTGAATGTGAAGTCATTTTGAGAGTGCAGGATGCTTTTTTTATAATGTACCTTAAATTTGACCGCTTTATTCTCAAACTATTATTAATGTTGTTGTTATTATTGTTGTGTTTAAAGGTTTTTGCTCCCTGTGCTCTTTTGAACACCTGACTAACCTATACTAGTAACCTAGTATGATTCTGTCAAATTAAAGGGCTTACATAGGTCTTACTTTCTCTGTTGCTTTTCTTATGGATTCGTATTTTAAGAGCTATAAATGTGGTGTTTGATCATTGGTTAAAATTAATGATCAAAAATATCTTGTTACCGTCTAAAGTGCTGTATGTATGCTGCAGTTAAAGAAATAGTCCAGGGCAATACCATGCGAAAAAAGGTAAAAACAAAGACAACTTATACAGAAAAGTACAGTGAAGCACTGACTCCTTTTACATTTCACTTACAGATGTCTTCCTCATATGAATAAACATTGATTCATGTGTCTTTACCAGTCATTGAAAGGCAAACCAGAAGGCCAACTCTCTCATAGTCATGTTTACAAAAAGCCAGTAGCTGAATCACTTCAGAGACCATCAGGAAAGAATAAATGACCTTGAAACTAAAAAATTAAAGCTTAAAACAGAACTTTAAACTTTTAGTGAGAGCCTGGTTCTTTCTCTTGTTACAGCTTCAGGAGATCTTCCGGAAGAAAAATGAGAAGAAGGGAAGGAAAGGAGATGCTGAGAAGTCTGCGCAGTTGGTAAGAAAGTTGGTAACAGAGGCTGATGATTTGTGAATGTCACAGGTATATGTTTTGATAAGAAATAGTACCTTCACAAGATACCCCCTGCATAGCTAATAGTAAGGTGACCATGAACTGAAGTCCGACTGGACATGGACTCCAGTAATGCTGCTATTATCAATTTGGTAAAAGTGAAACACAAAGAAGCAAAACATTCTTTGTATCAACAAGAAAGGGTTAATAAGACAGTGACATTCTTTTCTATTTTTGAATAACATTTCCGTACATCCATAGGTATGATGTGGCACAACATCTCTCCCCCCAAGACCTTTGTGAAATAACTGAAGGTCTGAAGAGAGAGATGTGCCAAACTGTACATGTGGGAAACATCATCATCCAAGTTACTCATCCTGTGTATTTAAACAGGTTTCAAATTTACTCAGTGCATGCAGCCTGATATTATCAGTTATTACAAAGTAACATCTCATCAGTTTTTACTGTGAAAGTTTACCTTTGTTTGTATTTGTCAGGTTGGATATACGCTTTTAAGAATTTGTGCTTTTCATCCCTACTATGATTAGATTAAACACAGCACAGGTAACTGTCCTTTTGCAGAGTTGATGTAAGCAGGCTTGATTGCTTCTAGAAAGTCGTTTAAATGCATTTATCTAATGTTTATTTTGCGCATGTTAACATAAGTTTGAACAAGAACCAGTCAGGCTGTAGAAATATCTGCTTCAGCATATTCTTTGGTTATAAGCTGTCTCTTACACCTTTATAGAGAAGGCTTCCTTTATTGATGAAAAAAGAGCCTGGGAAAAAATGTGGTTTTGTCATTTTATCACATAAAATATGTTTTTGTAGAGACTTTTCCTTTAATTCTTCAACTCCCAAAGTTATCACAGTTTTTCAGTTTTTAAGAAGTCACTAATGAATGGTTACTTGTTCAGATGTTCACCATCTTTTGTCTGTAGATAGCAACCCTTTCTCAAAATGAGCACTGATGAGCTGGCAACCTCAAAATTAGATTTTATTCCCACGCTGAAACATGTCATTAGGGATTTTAAAAGCCTTAATGAGCTAATATATCAACTATAAAATCTCACAGTGAGATACTGTTAAACCTTGTGATTACATCTTTTAGTAAAGTGGTAATTTGTGCGTTTGTTACTCTAAGCGAGCTCTAAGTCTTGTTGATCTGTTGAACTAAAGCTGTGAGTTCACTAGAACTGCTCTTGATTAAAAGAATGAAAATGAAATAAAGGAAAGGTAAACTATAAAGGGGACAGATTTGTTACTTTTCTGTTCACTCTTGCACAAGTCATTGCTGGGAAGTGCGGTATAATTTAGGACACGTGTTGTTGTAAAATGTAATCATAGCCGTGTTGAAAATCACACATCCCTCTGCAGAGTGTATCCACTGCCTCTTTCCTTGCATGTACTAACATGTCTTTTACTTCTCTCCTCCTTCTCTCTAAACGCATGCTCTGTGCTCCTCTTTCTTTCTCTCCCTGTCTCTCTCTCTCGCTCTATCTCCTTCGTCTCTGTGTATGTTAGAGTATGCAGCTCTATGGATATCAGGTTGCCCCCATGAACAGCGTATGTATCCAAAACCACAACCCCGTAGTCTTCTGTCTGCTCTGCTGTAGTTGGTTCAAGAAATGAATGGAAAGATGAACAGAGAATGAGGTGTTACTACTTGCTACATGGCCAGGAAGGCAGAATTCATGACACTATGATAAGATAACTGTAGTCGCACAGTGAGGACTTCAAAGAGGAAGTGGGGTGGAGTTTGAGTATTTTACGAACAGCATTTCAGTTTCTAATAATGCCAGTCTAGATAAAAAAGAGATTGATAGTGTGCATTTCTTAATGCAGAGAAACATAAATAAAAGGATGTTACCTCTGTATTTGTATGTTTTCTGGCTAAGTTAATTCAGCAGATCAATAACCTGTCTGTGAAAAACGGGACAGGTTAGCCTTTCTTAGCCTAAAAGCAGGAGGCAGGGCAAAACTAGTTTTGCTCATGAAGGTTAATCAGTCTCTGTAAGCACCTTTGAATCTCACTGGTTAACCCATTCATCCTGTTTATTAAACTTCGGACAGAACTAGCCTGTTGCAGGTCTTAATGCTAGGCTAGCCATGACTTAATTAAAAAACCACAGTTACCGCACAGACATCCCACATCCCAGTAAGTCAGAAATGTTGATTTTTGTTCTGTTTAGCCCTTTATACTTACAAAATTAGATCTAACAGCAGATAGAAGTTGTGTAAAGAAAAGATTGAGCAGTTAATAGTTGGAGATAAACAGACATTTATAAGAATATTGAGATTCTTCAAGTCCTGCTGGTTGTAAATATTGATAATGCCGTGATACAGGGACTCTATTTCAATGCCCCTGTCACCCACTGTTGTTTCCTGACCCAGCCTTTCAGGGCGCCTTAACCCTGACCTGGTCCACCTGATCCTCTGTTGTCAGTACAATGTGCAGTGTAGCCTCCCTGAAAAGATAAACGGATAAAAAGAATTGAGAGGAATAGAGAACGACTTCCTAAAAGACAGGGTGTCCATCTGTCGGGTCAACTGAGTAATTGATCAAGGGATGATGGCACAACGGAGGAAAGGATGAAAGGAGAGGTAGAAGGCAGAAGAGGAGTAAAAGATTTTAAGGGTCAGGAGAGATGAACTCCTGCAAATAAAGAGTGATGTGATTTAGAAAGACTAAAGCAATCAGACCGTTTATTTTGAAATGTTTTTTTCTTGCAGTGAGTGTGCTCCTAATGGAGGCATTTTTTTTCCATCAAAGTAGATATTAAAAGATCTGAAGGCCTAAATTACACAATTGAAAGTTGCTCTTCTTGTGTGAGCACATTCGCGGTATGTGAAAGCAAGCAGGTCACAGTGGGTTGAGTGGAACACGATCAGAAAATTCCTGATTGTGTTAATGAGAGTATTTTTTCTCTTGTATTCAAACATTACAAACTTTCTTTGTTCTCAGTCTGTCAAAGAGAAAAGCCTTATTCAGTTCAGATCACTTGATTGCCCCCTATAAGATGAAGAATAGATATTGAAACTGAATCAAAATTATAGAAAGCATAAGACATTAACAGTGAATGGTGAAGACAAACATTTTTGAAGGTCCCTTTTGTCACTGATTTCTTAGTGAGACACTGTTAAAAATGCAGCAGAAGTTTGCAAACCCTGAATTGTAATAAATATTTTTTTTAATGAGGATGGGGTTCAATGTACCAAAAAAATGCCAGACAGATTTATATGTAGCCTCAGAGACAGTCCCCTCCTCCCCCGTTATGCACACACACACACACACACACACACACACACACACACACACACCCTGTCAGTGTTGTGATGGATAGCTGCATTGTCACTGTGAAGTTAAGAGCGGTGCAGGGTCATGTTAAAATGGCTGCTGTGGCATTGTCCCCTGAGAGCAGGACGAGGTGGGTGGTCAGGAGCTCCTCAACACTGTAGTTGTTTTTCACAATCAAAGACTGCAGTCTTAGGAAACCAGCTTTTTGTGTTTCATTTGGACAGAGATCTATTTCTTATTTGAGTATTAAAGAAAGTTTGGCTGGTAGAATAGTGTTTTTTCCTCAGAGATTATTTTGCGATAGGTGTGGTGTTATTATGATTTTGCCAGTGTTTGCTGTTGATTCAGTATCAAGGCAAAATAACCAATGCTAGCAGAGATGATTCAAGGAACAGGGTGCAGCAAAACCGCTGTAGGACATTGGGTCTTTTCTTCCCCCTTGTTATATAATAATCAAGTTTATGCTCTGTTAATTGAAAAAAATCCGTACAGAGGGTTTCATGAAGTATCAAATCAGCGTAATCTCTGTATGATTAATGATTTATGAATGTTGTGTGAAGCTCTTGTGAGTAATACCGTAACATACTCTGGCAAAAAAGAGTGACTTTAAAGAAGCAGTTTTGATTTTGTGTGTATGAAGCGAGAATTAAAGATTGACGATTACTTCTTCAAATGGTTGAGTCGGAGGTGAACTGACCTCGACCCTGCTTGACCGCTCCTACAGGTGCTAAAAAAAGACAGTCAAGAGTTTGTGGCTCGGAGTTACTGGGACGTTCTGAGACGTGGGGCCAGTCAAGTCCTCTTTTCGGACCTGGCGGAGGTACATAAACCCAAATGTTCTCTGTCACTACATCCCATCCCATATTCCGTCATTCACTCCTTTTCTTTAGGTCCCTGTAGTGATAGCTGATCCTTTAACTTATCCCAAAGATTCAGAGAACTGTTGCTGCATCATGCTTGGCTAGAATACGAAAAGAAGATCTACATTGGCCATTTACTAAATGCTTAAAATTACGTAAAGATTGATTTTTGATATTTAGCTTTTAAAGAAAACAGTCAATCAAAACATTTGATTATCTGCCCTTGTTCTGGTTTGGCTTGATGCAGTAAATTTATTTCGACCATAGCAGTTTTTTTCTTTGTTGTTCCTTTTTTTAAAGCTTCAATGTACCTGAATTTGTAAGTTTCAGCATGTCTTCTGTGTCTGAACTGTAGAATACATAAATGGCCAACATCCATTTTTAAATTTCATTTCCTGTATGAAGTCATTTCTATCAGAATAAGCTCTAAAATATCTCCTTGTTATGAACACAATGTGACACCCTTGTGCAGGTTTTGGAAAATGTTGAGTCTCCTCCACCAAGTGTCTTCATTGTTTCATTGTCTCACCCTCTTGTTTCATTCAAACAAATATGACATGAGTGGTTATTATACAGAAATTATCCTTCTGTACTGTTGTCACAGCAGTGATTCAGTATGCTGTTTTGATGATCAGTCATGTTTGCTAACCTGTTCTGTTTCTCATGTGCCACCTGTCATTTAGTCTCTTCATGGTGCTGTTGTATGCGTATCTGTGACTTGTTATCTGTACTGTCTTGTGGCTCGTGTTGTAGCTTTGGTGTCAAATCACTGTCAGTCTGCACCACAACATGTTTAATGACACAGGTAGAATGATAACAAGGCTGGCTGCAGAGTACATAGAAAAATCTGATCATAAAAGCAGCACACACTTACACCGAATCACTAAGATTTGTTCTATTTGAATACAGGAATATCTTTAAATATCATATCCTAGCCATATTATGCAGATGTTTGTAATGTCTTTTTTAAGTGCATCAGGATGCTAACATTTGAAAATGAGCTCTAAACACAAAAGGAAGTGTGGCTGAGGCTGTTGAGAATATTAATCTTTCCAGAGGACCAAGAAGTTTGGCTTATTGGTCACATTTTCATCACTAAGTTCATCTACAGCTTAGGTTGTTTTCCTGAGAAGTCTTGTGGGCTTCATACGTCTTTCATGATTAATAGCAAGAGCTAACAGTGCTAGCAGGCTAGCTGAGTAATGACAGGCTCTGAACCGTGGTGGCAGCGGAAGCTGAGGTGGAGGTAATGACAGTGGAGGGTAATGGGCCTGACCTTGTACTTAGACCGAACAGCCTTTCATCTGCTGAGATGTCAGACGGACAGAACAGACAAATCAGATGGAGCGGGGAGGGCAGGGAAGTAGGGAATAAAAGGAAGAATATCATTCAAAGTGTGAGAGATTCAGCGGTATGTAACAAATTCGATTAAACTAAAGACCATAGACAGGAAACAGAAACACACATGAAAGGAAGCGAAGCAGAGGCGAGGAGCCATTATCAGATAAGTTATAAACCTGAGGGGGAAATTGAGATACAATCAGAGACAACAAACATGTGAGAAGATGACACAGGCCAGCAAAAAGAACAAATGTCGAGGGACAAAGTGGGTGGGGAGAGTGGTAGTTTGGGAAATACATTGAGGGGAAAAGAGAGAGGCAGGTTGCATTCAGAGAGAGATGTGTTTACTCAACAGATTAGTCACCATTATACCTCTTTGCTTTTGTCTGTAGAAAGGGGGGCTGACTGACAGGCTGAGAGGGAGGGAGGGCGGGAAGCAAGGAGCAATTCACCTGTGTGTTTGACAGGTGAAGGAGGTAACGACGGGTTAGATCAGGAGAAAGGAACCAGAGAAATCAGAGTAGGGGCAGAAAGACATGATAGGGGAGAGGGGGGCAAATAAAGAGAGTAAGGTGGGGAAAAAAAGGTAAACAAGTCATGGGAAGGGACAGGAAAGGTCAGTTGATTTTCCTCTAAATGGTATGAGTGATTGACGCTCGACCGAAGAGCAACAATGAGCTCTTCCTCTGAGGTATTACTCACAAAGAGGGAGGGTGAGGAAGACCATTTAGTGTTTGCATCAGTAATGACTGTTTTTACCTTCAGCTTTGTGATCAAAGTCTGTTGAAGCTCACGCACACACAGATGGACAATTAGACACATGCTGACACCAGGTGTTGGCTCATGCATGATGGGCGTGGTACACATGACGTCTTTGCAGGGATGATGAGCTCACAGAGTCGTTGCCACACTTCCAGGAATGATGAGCTTGTTGTGATGACTTTGAAATTACGTCGGCTTGAAATGATTCTCTATGGCTCGTGTCAAATCTTACAATTTATTGTGTCTTTAGACGTCATTCATAGAAGTTAAGTCTTATTGGTAAAATGCTGTAAAAATTCAAAACCATCAATAACTAGTGAGAGACCACTGTCGTAGATGGGATTTTAGTTAATCCAGTCCACTTTCTTTATCTAGCACATTTTCAAAACATTCAAGTTTACCAAAGTGCTGCACAGTAAAATCAAATCATTCATTGTCAACAGTTATTAATGTCCTGTCAGTATGAATGATGATAGGTTATTAGTTGTAACAACATAACTCAGTTTTAAACTGCTATAATCTGGGTTGCCATTTTGGCGAGGAGTCTTTGAAGAGAAGAACAAGAGGCTTGACTGCTGCACCTAACTTTTTTCTGTTTAAATGCTGCCCATGACACCTTAATCATGTGTTTTTATATCTATGCAGCATTTACTATTTGTTTGAATGCCGACAAACAGCAATGAAAATCACGTAATGCAGCTTCTCATTACTTTTCCATCCATTTATAATGGTGATGACATTAGAATACAACAGATCCTCACATATTTTAATTTACTCATTTTAAAAATTTCCCACGGCTCACAGCATCCAGTTCTCAACGGCTTAATAACTTTATTTATACAGTCAATCAATATGAGTACTGAAGTTTCTTCACATTTTTGCCTACTTTTACTTTATTCTCTGTTTTATAAATCATCTTATCCAAATTTAAATCTACAAATTTGGAACAACTGATAAGTTATTGTTACATTGATAATAATAATTATGTGGAATAATCAATATGGATTTACAGAACATGAACAAAAGGATTGATTTTGGCTGTCTTTGTAAGCTTTTTTATCACTCCTATCTCCAGACAAGCAAAAACAGGAGAAGAAACCACAAATACCTGGTTTTTATGGTGTTAGAAGGAGAGAGTGGCAGAGACACAACACCTGGACAGTGTCTGAACAGATCATGGGTCATAAAGGCATAAGTCCTGCGTCACCTTCATGATTAAAGAACCAAAGTATGCTTGTCCTCAAACAAATGACACACTGACAACAAGACACTGAAATTAAGTCTGTAATTGTTTCCTTGTGTTTGGTCTTTTGATGCCCTCCTTGGTTCCTAATCATCAAGCAGACTGAAAACTGAAAAAACAGAAACTGTCCAGACAAAAAATAGGGTTTACTTCATTTGTGTCGTGGAGGACAGTTTTATCTTTTCTCTTACCACATTGATTGAATTAAAAGGGGCATCAACTCCAGAGATTCTGTTTGGAAATTAAGTTTACTTCTTCATCATGCAGTTGTCAATATTACTTTTCCTTTACTGGTCATCCTAGTGGTTCTCTTTCTCTCTTTATCAATACATTCATTTACTGCTCAATCATTTTATTTGTGTTTCTTTCCACTTTCTACTACCTTAGACAAATATTCTCGTGACCCACTCTGAGATAATGTAACAAAAAGGAGGAGCCACTGATCTGTCCTGCACTAAACATTGTTTAAACAAATGATGGTCTCGTATATGAACAAAGATTGTCTTCACACCTCAGTTGAAGTCATCTGCTTGTTCTTGATAGAAGGATTACACAAATTTGTATCCCCAAAAAGAAAGAGCACAGCATTTGTTGAAGCGTTGATCTGTCTTGCTCTCACACTTGTCAATCTTTTTATTGTTGCTTTTGTAAGTGTGTATGATCTTGTTTGACATGTTCTTTCCATCTCACATTGGCTTTTAGGATTTTACTCTTGAGGTAGAACCACGAACTGCATCGTGGTCTTGATGATGGTGATGATGATGATGATGATGGAACTGGCCTTATTGCTCCTTCTCCTTAAAATGACATTAGATTCCACTTAATCTGATGTCTGCACTTGCCTCAGCATGGCCTTGGATTGGACAGGGAGATGGCTGAGGGGGGCATGGTGTGACAAAGGACAAAAGATGGGTGGTGTGCCCCAAATATGCTGACACAGCACGAAAAAAGCAGTCACCTTTTTCTGATGTTTGACAAATAAAATACAAGCCACAGACCTTAAATAAACATGGACTTACTCTCAGTTTTATTGCACATTAATTCTTGACAAGGTGTCATCATATTAGAAATGATGACTACTGCAAAATGCAGCAAAGGGTAAAGTTGTGGCCGAAGTCAAGCTGCCTAGCAGCATGCCTAACTGTCAGTCATCAGCCATTCCCTTAAATATGTGTTTAAGGGAAATATGTGTTTTAACCAAAACAGATGAAAGGATTAACCCCTTGACAGGTTTAAGAAAACAGAAATGAGCTTTAAATGAACTTTTTTATTTTTTATTTTAGTCTTAGCACTAAGATCGCAAAGCTTCTTAAATGACTCAAATCAATCACACACTTGTTATGTTTGGAGGAAAAGACAGACAGAAAACATTTCAAGAATATTCACTCCAAGTAAATAACATTAAAAAAGACCATACAAAGTAAGAACCACAGTTCTCTGTTAACAGAAATAGGTGAAATCAGCCCATAGTCTGCATCTGTTCCTTTGTGGGTTTATTTTCTCACACTGCTGTTTGTGATTTAAGATTTTGTTGAGGTGCGTCAATGTGGCATTGGCAGAGAAATGCATGGGATGCAGTTGCATTAATGTCTCTGTGTGTTTTTGCAGCCAAGTGTTGTGTGTTATCTGTCTGTGGCAGCTTTAGTTCTACATGTCTTTTCTCACGCTTTTCTCTCTCTTTCTTCTCTTTCAATACACTCTCCCTGGTCAACACCTTTTTCTCCTCTTTGCTTCATGCTCACTGATCCCTGTCCTTTCAATATTTTGCACGATTGTTTTTTCAGTTTGTCTTTGTAAGTGTGCTGCTACCTGAGCAACCTAGACCATAATTGGTCTGTGTTTTAATGCTGCTTGGACAGCAACACTTCCTGCCAGTCTAGGCAGCATGGAAAAAAGGCTCCACAATCCTCATGTAGTGTCTTTGCTTTGATACAATGATAAGGATGATCATGACTGATAGGATTAAAATGGAGAGAAACAGCTCTGTTCATTTAACGTCATCACTGCATTTTAACCTCTCAAATATTTCCTCTGTGTTATACCGAAAGAGCTTGACCATATTTCATGGTATCACCAAGGATTTTAAGTACTAAACCTGTCTGTTTTTATCTCATATGAGAGGTTAAAGTTCAATGTCTTGACTGCCTAGACTGGCTTGTTCAGTATCATGATGGCTGCTGACTGTTTATGAGCTTATCCATTTGACTGACAGTGTTGTGATGCCTTCCTGCTTCCTGCTAAGCCTGGCTCCAC